GGAATACCACAAAGCTTTATCAACCCATTCAACAGCTATATGAAGATGCCATGTGCCAAGTGATTCACAATGGAAGGCTCAGTGACGCCTATGAAGTGAAGGCAGGAGTAAGACAAGGTTGACACCTACTATCGTCACCGATGATCTTACTGATTGTGGTCAACTGGACTGGACTGGATCATGCAACAGACAACTGTGAGGAGCGAGAAGATGAGCATACGCTAAGTGGACCGATGAAAAGACCCTAGAAGAAGATTTGGAATTCGCCGCTGATGATGACTTATATCTAATGTGTTGTGGCACAAACTCGAAGATCTACAGGCGAAACCTGACAATTTGGTAGAAGAGGTGAGGCAGCGAATACAGGACTTCAAGTGAACGTAGAGAAGGCAGAGGTGATGAAGATAGCCAACCAACAACAACAATAATAACAAGCACCGATCACCATCAAGTGGAGACATCTGAAGGAAGTAATCTCTTTCATCTACCTACCCACCTACCTGGGCAGCATCGTTTCAACTGCATGCGGTGTCACAGATGAAGACGTCAAAGCAGCCATGATCGGAAAGACAACAAGATACGTCTTCATTAACCTGAAATCAGTGTTGAGATCTACTACACTCAGCATAAAGCGTGAACAAGATCCGGATTTTCAACACTAATTTAGTCAAGTCAGTCAGTGCTTCTATGTGATGGTTGAGAGACTTTGTGTGTTATAAAAAGCATTTTCAACAAACTACAGTTCCTGCCTACACTCACTCGATACTGAAGATTAGATGGCCAGAATAATAAGAATAAGCAACAAGGAACTCTGGCTGGCTGGCTGGCAACGAACCAACCAACCAAGAAGCTGTCGTCCAACAAATATGCAGAAGAAAGCGGAGATGGAAGGGGTATGCATTGAGAAGACCGTTTCTGGACATCACGTACTATGTCAGGCCGTTGAGGGGAAGCCAAGTGGGAAACGACGAGTTGGGCGTGCAAGAGTGACATGAAAGAGATTGTGTGAGGAAGAAATTAAGGCTTGTGGACAGTGGTGGAGCGATGTTGAGGAAACTGTATAGAAGAGAGTGCAATGGAGGGAGATGTGCTACTGAAGCCTTATGTTCCACTAGGTACCCAAGGGACAAGTAATAATAATAATAATAATAATAATAATAATAATAATAATAAATAAATAAATAAATAAATAAATAATAATAATAATAATAATAATAATAATAATAATAATAGAAGTGTAGCTGATTTTCGTCGCCTCTGGTGTGCGAAGATTCATCACCTTGCGTTTCTCCAGGTTAAAGCTTAAGCTGTTTGCAGCTGACCAAGACTCCAGCTCCAACGAATCGTTTTGGAGTATCCTAGGATCCTCTTCATCACCTATCGTCCTCCATATTTTGATATCGTCGGCAAATAGGAAAATAGATGACGAGATTTTAATGAGGAGGTCATTTATGAATAGTAAAAATAAGCGTTGCCCAACGATTGCTCCTTAAGAAACTCTTGTTCTCGCATTCCTTCAGGTTGATCGAATTCTGTTTACTTTAGTGCAGAATTCTCTGTCCTCTAGGTATGCTAAGAGTGGTTTAGTGATTCCCACTTTCTGCAAGTTTGGCGAGCATGGTGCAGTATGGGACGCTATCGAAAGCTATGGCCAAGTCCAAGAAGATAACGTGAACTGGTTGTTTGTTGTCCCATCTAGTAGTCCAGTCATCCCAAGTGGTCATCAAGCTTGTGGCACATGACCGCATGGTTTTGAAGCCATGCTGGGTGGGATGAACGATGTTGTTTCTGTTCAGGTAGTCCGAAACAATATCTGAAACCAGGCTTTCCAGTACCTTGGAAAGTATGGGGAGTAATGCTATTGGTCTGTAGTTGCACGGGTTTTTTCGTTCTCCTCCCCTGAAGATTGGGAGTTGACTTACTTCAACGAGTATGTGAAGTATATGGGTATGCTTAGCACCTCTCCACAGTTGCGTAGGACCACCGATCTTATGTCATCACAGCCTGGGGATTTCCATATTCTCAGTGTTGAAAGTTTCGCAAACACTTGGATTGACAAAATCTTCACATCCATCAGCTTTGTTTCCCAGTCCCGGGAATTCGTTACATTACTAGATGTTGATAGCGGATGTATTACTGGGTTGAGCTGCTCGTCAAAACGAATGCTCAACAGTTCCGCCATCTCATTGCTGTTCAAGGGTTCTCCGGCCGCTCTGTGATCAGGTTTAAACCCTTATTCGTCGGTTTGCGTTATGATATAAACCGATACAGACTTTCGGATTGTAGCTTAAGTGTTTAGCCAGGTTGCTCTGGTATGTATGTCTGTCATTACGAATTCTTATAATACAT